CAGCTCAAGAGCAAGAATAGAGCTGAATATATAGATTCAGGGATCACATTTATATGTGCATAATGAATAATAGCTAATATTTATATAAGGCTTCAAGGTTTGAAAAACACTTTACATATAATATTTCATTTGATGTTCGTTTTAACCCTGTGTGGTAGGTGTTATCATTATTTCCATTTTACAGATGAGCAAAATGAGGTTGACTGAGTGACTTCTTGAGGGTCACACAGCTAATCAGTGCCTGAGGAAGAATTCAAACTCAGACTTTCTGATTCTAAATCCAGAATTCTATTGTGCCACTTAGCTGCCTCTAGAAATGATAATTAAATCCATGGGAACTGATGATATGCCTGATATGATATCACAGAGAGAGTAGAGACTGCACTTTATGCTGTTTTATAACATCAAACTGGCAGATCTAGTCAGTCCTTTTTTGCTCTTTTTGTCTTTTCCTTTCTATTTTCTTCTGGAATGTGCAGGAAACTTTAATTGCTACCCCAGAGCACTTGATAGCTTCATACTTGTTCACCGGGCCTAGAAGAGAGTTCTTGGACTTCTTTTGATTTTTATTTCTCTTTATGAGTATGATCAGAGATCAAAGAACAAAGGGTAGATTTTCTCTGACCAAAAGAGCATCTGGGAGAGGGGTGGAGTACCCTTGAGAAGTACATAGTAGTTACATGTGACCCAAGAGGACTGACTATTCATGCCCTTCCTGAACCCCTGACTCCTGGTCAGAGAAATTGTGGTGGGTAGTAGGGAGAGGATTTCCTAGGTAATCTATGATTCTGGCCATCATTCTGGAGAAGAGAGCTTGAGGGAAATTCAGTAATGTAGAGAAGAAAAGGATTGCTGAGCAACAGTGAGGATTCAATTGAGATTATGCTGTATAGTATACTACACACTGGACCCAATCAGCATTGTATCACAACTTAATCGCAGTAGTGTTTAGTATGATGTAAGCAAGAGCAGAGAAGGTAGATGGTAGAAGTGACTCAAGGATAGAGTTTGGTAAGATGTGACTGGCAATAGGACAAGGAGGATGATAGCATGTAGTTGAACTTTGATCAGTTATGTAGTCAGAACTATAAAGGAACAAAAATGAGAACAGAGTGACAGGAAGGAATGGAGGTTATGGTAAGGATAAAGAAAAGATTTAGAAGAACTAGGCAGAGGGAGAAATATAAGGATACAAAATTATGTTCCCAGATTTCTATATCATAGAGTGGAGAGCAGATAGATCAATCAGCCAATCAATCAATAAACATTTATTAAGCACCTGTTGTGTGTCAGGCACTGTGCTAAGATAGCTACATCAAGAGTATGATCACCCCTCAGTGTAGTCCAAAGAATCTTAATTTTTTTGTATCATTGACCCTTTGGCAGTCTGATGAAGCCTGTGGACCCCTTCTCAGAATAATGTTTTTAAGTGTATAAGATAAAATACAGTGGATTGCAAAGGAAATGAATTATATTGAAATATATTTTTAAAAAGTAAGCTCACAGACCCTAGGTTAAGAACTGCTGGGTAGACTGAAATTGAGTAAATATATAAGTCTTAAGGCAGTTGTTGAACTAAGAGGACAGAGTATTTCAAAGGACACAACCATGTAGGTTGAAGTTCATGAATATGAAGGCTACGGTTGGAGTAGAGAGGAAGAATGTGGGATAGGTGTTCATTTCCTTAAGAAAGGAAGAGGACTGTGGCAGGAAAGTGGTAGATGACTACACTGAAAATCTGGATTAGGTAATAAAGAAGATCAACAGTGAACCTCAAGAGAGGCGAAATAGCTGAAGAGACATAGTGAGTTTCAAGGAGTATTACTATTCCTTCTTATGGCTCAGTGTGTTGGAGGCATGAGACAAGGAGTACCCAGTAGTGGAGAGCATGACCAGAAAAGTATCTTCTAAAGGAGAAGGTTCAGTTTGATGGTGATGATGATGATGATGATAACTAGCATTTATATAATGCTTTAAAGTTTGGAAAGTGTTTATATTATTTTGCTTGATCCTCATAACAACCCATTGAGGTAGGTTCTTCTATTACCCCCATTTTACAGATGAGGACATTGAGGCAAACAGCAGTTTAAATGACTTGCCCAGCCAGGGTCACATAGCTAAGTAAGTGTCTGAGGTAGAATTTAAACTCAAGACTTCCTGACTTTAAGTACAGCACTTAATCCATTATGCCACATATCTGCCTATGATGGAAAAAGCATCAAGAGAAGACATCTAGGAAGAAGGAGAATTTGTTAGCAACAGAGTGGGGCTTCTAAAAGTTACAATGAAATGGGAGTCGATGAAAAGGGAGGGTATGAACTATGGAAAGATAGGGCTAGAATGGATAAGTATGAATAGGTGAAGAGAGAAGGGAAGGATCTTTTCCCTCTGCAGACATTAATTCTGAATCTTTCATTCAAAGAATGAAGAAAGTACCGGTTCACTGGGGCTCTAGGTGCTCAGATTTCTATGACGACTGAGCACCATTCAATGGAGCTGGGAGTGTAGTTATTGGTAGGAGACAGCAGGGCGTTCTATCCAAGCCCCTGGGTCAATAAAAAACTGGTATTCCTACATCCAGAAGAGGACCTTGTGCTGGAAGGCACACTGTGTTCCCATGCCAAGATAGTGGCACCTGTACACCTTGTTCAAGAGACATCTTGTATATTCCCTTCCTAGTCTTTGAGTCCACTCTACACTCTGTCTTTCATTCCTTTGCCTTTACAGGGGCCATACTTAGTGCCTTCCTTTTCCTTTGCCTCTTTTGAGATGCAGCTCAAGCATAATCTTTGTGAGCCTTTCTTAGGCCCTTTGAACAACTAGCAAAAGGGTACAAGCTACCTTTATTTAACTACTTCTTCAGGTTTTTTTTTGTTTTGTTTTGTTTTTTTGGTGAGGCAATCAGGGTTAAGTGACTTGCCCAGGGTCACACAGCTAGGAAGTGTCAAGTGTCTGAGGTTGGATTTGAACTGAGGTGCTCCTGACTCCAGAGCTGGTACTCTATACAGTGTGCCACCTAGCTGCCCTATATTTAACTACTTTGTATATATGTTATTTATTTTGTGCTGTGCGTGTGTGCATGTCTCCCAGTAGAATGTGAGTTCTTGGAGAGGAGAGATTGTTTCATTCTTTGTACTTGTATTCCCCCACCCCCATCCCGCTCCAGTGCCTGTCACAGTGTCTGGCACACAGTAGGTGCTTAATAGATGGTTGTCAAATTCAGTCATTTTGAAAATGTGCAGGGTAGGTTTTCTACTACCTTCTGTGCCCTGAGGCTAAGATCTGTTATGACTTTAAATACCTGCTTTTAGGAACAAGTCATCTACTGCCTCTGACTCTGAGAGACTGAAGATCTATGAAAGCTTTGAGTCAACTTTGGAGAAGACCTTACAGGACTTCTGGCCCCTTAAGGGTATTGATTTCTTATTTATTGTAGGGTAGTGATAATATAAAAAGAGGCTATTAGAGAGCTGTTTATAGCATTAATGGAGAGCTGTTTGTAGCATTCTGAAACCACTTGTATAATACGCAAACTTATTTTAAAACCGCACCTTGAAATTATTCTGATACATATAATATGATTACCCTTTAAATATTAGACGCTTTGGGTTATTTGTGCAATGTCAGTCACATTATGAATGCCTGCTTATTAACCAAGTACAGTTTGTTTCTGGTTAGTCTTGGCCTTGTGTCCACAGGTTTTAACCTGCCAAATTCCCTGTGTAAACATTTTAGTTTGTTTTGGTCCTCAAAAGTAAATGAATATGTTCTATCTTTTATACTGTTTATTTATAGCTGTCAATTGAGCATGCATGTTTTTTAAAAAGTCAGCCTATACACAGATTAAAGCAACCCATCACCTCCCGAGGCTGCATACTCCCCTTTTGGATGGCTTGATTAAAGCAGGTAATCTTCCTCTCTGAACCTTCTACCCACTGCCTACTTCGGTGGCCAAGCAAAACAAATCTAATTCCTCTTCCACTTACATGGCAGCCTTTCATATGCTTCATATGCTTGAGCACATCAATCTTTATCTACCCTTAAGTCTTATGTTCTCTAGGTTAATCAAGCCTTTTGTTTCAACTATTCCTCACTTAGCATGATCTTGAGACCCTTCACCATTTTGATTTTTCTCCCTTAGACGTGCTCTAATTCGTTAGTGCCCTTCCTAAAATACACTATAGGTGTCATTTGACCAAGGCAGAGTGAAATGGGATTATCACCATCCTTGTTCCACTCATCATGCTTTTATTAATGGGGCCTCAGATAATACTACCTTTTTTTTAAAAATTGCTCTATTACCATGGTGATTCATATAGATCTTGGAATTCTCTAAAATTTCCAGATCTTTTTTTACATTAAGTATTGCCTCACCATCCTTTCCCCTCTTTCTCTTTCTCTCCCTCCCCAACCTGTGATTGTTTTATTGACTAGAAATGTAGGAATTAACAATTGTTCAATTTGATGAACTTTTATAAAGTACCTGGAATTTGCAGGAGACCATGGTAGATATTAGGGATACAAAAACAGAAACTAAGTAGTCACTCAAGGGTCATATATTAATGATATTCATCCCTCTCAAATGACATTTGATTTAATTTGTCTCTAACCTGTTGAAATACTTTTTGGATTCTGAATCTTTCATCCCTCCAGTTGTGGCTCTCAGCTTTATGCACCTGTAGGTTTGATAATCATAATGACTGTGCCTTCAACCATGTCTTTTATAAAAATGTGGAAGAGTATAAGGCCTGCCTCAAGTTGACATTGACTCCGAAATGACTATTGTTTGGGTCATTCATCCAGTTAATCAATTTAAGTATCAACTCCCCCCTAGTCCATACCTCTAGCGTGTCCACAAAGTTATTATTGTATTATGTCTCCTCTTCCTCAGAAATAAACTACAAAAGTTGTGGTTCAGTAGAGGGTGTGATGGATCATTCAGAGTTGAGGTTTCCGATAAATAACCAATCCTTTAATAAAAAACATATGCAAATACCTACCAGGTAAAAGCAGTTCCTAACGTAGTTACAAAAGCAGTTCATGGAAGCGTGAGCCAGCAAAAGCTACATGGGCATGGAAGTTAAAAGCAGTCAGCCAGCAGGTTCCATGGAATCTCAGGAGTTCCCTGCCAAAAAAACACTTCTGTTTTCTTCTTGCCAACATCAGGGTCCCAGATCAATCCACCTGGGGTCAAAACTAACTTAGACTTCCCCATTTCTGCACAATAGCTTCTTTGCTTACAACAGTTTCAGCTGGAGTGAGGAAGGGAGGAAGTGAGTACAGTTAACTCATGCTCCCCCAGTTCCACCAGTGGTATCCTGGCCCACAGCAAGCCCAGATCAGTCCTTACATCTTGACATGAAAACTTCCCTTCCTACTCTATCTCACAATGAGTTATTCTCATCTCTCAGTTGACATAGTCTAGCATATAGACTATAGAGCCTATATCATGCAACCCAACATTTGGTAATAGACTGATTATTTTCTAATTATTTTCATGCATACGTATTGCCCCTCCTCTCCCAACTAGAGTGCATGGCCTTCCAAGGCAAAGATTATCTTGAGCTACCTGCAGCAGGTAGTACAAAGGCGAGCACACAGCTGCTACTAACAAATGAGAAATAACTCTGCTTTCAGGTTATTCTAACAACATTTGCATGAGAAAGGTGTAAACATTTCTTCGAAGCAAGCACTTAGTGCTATAGAATCAAAGGACCTGGGTTCATATCCTACCTCTGAAACTTACTAGCTGTGTTACTTTGTGCTTGTTTTGGGCTTGAGTTTTTCCTTATCACTATAATGAGGGCTTTGGACTCAGTGGCCTTTGAGGCACTTGCCACCTCTACAGCTATGATTCTATGGCTGAAGTACTGTTTATTAGTCCTTTTGCAATGAATATCAACTAATGACAATAGCGCATATTTATTAAATTTTACAGTCTGCAAAGAATTTTTCCTCACCAGGAACCTTACTCCAATCCATCTCCATTAAGCTTTAAAGTGATTTTCCTAAATCATATGTCCCATGATGTCAACTCTCCACCCTCTGGCCAATCCTTCCTCCCCCCTCTTGTTCCCACTAAACTCCAGTGGATTCCTATTGTTCCTAGGATCAAACATAAAATTGCCTGTTTAGCATTCAAAGCCCATCATAATCTCCCCCCAACCCCTTCCAGTCTTCTTACTTCCTGCTTCTGGCCTCTTTACTGTTCCACAAACAAGACATTGTATCTTTGGACTCTGAGCATTTTCTCTGACTGTCCTCCATGCCTGGAATGCTTGCCTGCCTCTTCTCTACCTATTAACTTCTCTGGCTTCCTTTAAGTCCCAACTGGGAATCAATGTGGCATATTGCATAGATTGCCAGTCTTATGTTCAGAAACACCTAAGTTCAAGTCTCACCTGTTACACATATAAGCTTTGGGACCCTGGGCAAGTCACTTAACTCAAGAGAAATACTATAAGTTGCAGAGCAGGTGTTGATCTCTGTTAAAATAGAGAGTTTCCTCACTGGGAGTGCCGTATGTTAATGAAACCATAGGTCTAATGTGTTTGTTTTACTTAAAACAAAGGGAGAACTAAAAATGTGCTTTAAAATATTTAGAAAAATAAGAACACTAAATAAGGGCAGAAATCACTCTTGACACCAAGCATTGATAATTGTACATATATTTAAACCAAGAATTATTACCTGTATTAGTTCACCTTGACCTCCTGTGATTCATTTCCTTTCAGTACAGTTTATTCCTGATGAAAGAAGGTATACCAGTTTGAACCACAAAAAAGCAGTGCCAATTTATACAGTGTAGATGCAGTATTTAGAACATTTCCAAACAAATGTAACATTAGATACCCTGAATTAAAAAGTAGGTGTAAGTGTTTATGGGTTGGTTTGTTCACACCCTGCAATAAAATATTGTCAACGAACAGGTCAAATTCCAAGGTAAACTATAATCATATTGGAACTAAATTTAACACATGCTTTCAGTATGGTATGTAAAATATTTAGTACTTTGGCCCACCAGTTCTCATCTATTGATAGTCAGGGAAGGTCTCCTGTAGCTGAGATTTGAAGACAGAGGTTTCTTTCTTCACTCAGTTAAACTTGGAAAGGGCCTCTTCAGTATCGTGTAAGTAAATGGCATAGGAGAGGAAATGACTGTGGTGAGGATAAGCTGTTTAGTCTCATTTTCTGTGTAAAGAGTTCTGAAGTAAATTGTGAAGAGAAGCTTGTTCTCCCTCCTTTTTAGTGGCATTGCGTGTCATTGCTAATCCACCAAGGTAAGTGTAAAATGTAAATCCTGGAGCTGTCTTAGATTTTAAAGGGCTGAAAAGACCTAGGCATTTGGATTTTAAATTAAAATGATTGAAATGTTTGAAGTTCCAGGGTAAAGACTATATAAAAATATGCTACTTTATAATTTGAAATTATTTATTTTATGGTATGTTGATATTTGTCTGAGACATTTAAGGATATTATTAAAAGGTCCATTTTATTCCAGAATCAGTTTATTTTCCCATTATGGTTTGGTATTAGAAACACTACATATTTTTTATTCTGAGATAATACACTAGATTGTCGGATGCAGTTGTATCGTCTTGATAATAGTATGCAAAACCCACAGAAAATGTATGTCTTTTGACTTCAGTTGCTGCTGAATTAGAAGACAATAGTGTTTTACGGATTTCTGTGCAGATGTTATTTTTCTAAATATTTTAAGTGAATTTTGGTTTTAGGAGCTCAGATACCTTTCAAAATAAGTTTGATTTGGACTGAATTAGTATAAGTAAGAAAGTACATATATTAAAAATGTAATCAACTGCAAACCAAATAACTTCTCTATCACATTCTCCTTATCACTAATGCATTTTCTTGTAACATCTCAAAGGATAGCATTGATAGCAAATATAGTCATTTCCCTTATAGATGAATATTTATGTTGTCTTTAAGATTTGCAAAATGTTTTATATACATTATCTAATTGATCTCAGGAACTCCAGTGAGTATTATTATCATATTCCTCAATGAGGAATCCAAATTGCAGAAAGATTAAGCAGCCTGTGCATGGTAGTGCTATTAGCGTCAGAGGTAGGTTTCAAACCTATATCTTTTCTGACTCTTAAATCCAGCATTTTTCCAGCACTTTGTAGCCTCTCACTTAATTTTGTGTGTGTATGTGTGTATATCTATCTATTTATTTATCTAAAATATACTTTATTTTCCATGAACCCACATGCTGTGCTCATCGTAGGCATTTAATAAATGTATGTTGAGTTTAATATTTGTCTCTATAACACTGGGTGCCACACTATGATACATTTTCTTGTACTGTATGCTGTCAAGTTGCATTCTACTTCTGTGGTCCACAGTATCTTGGGTACAGAAGTGACAAAAAATATGAAGATATTACTCTATACACCAAACAAGGAAAATATAAACACTATTGGAAAAAAGTCCACTTGTTTAATACGTTGAATTACTCAAAAAAAAGATATTTCACATAATATTACAGTTATGGAGGGGAGGGAACCCATACAACCATGTAAACTGGTAGACATTTATCATGCTTAAACCTGTAAACAAAAAAATAAATAAAATTTATGTTTTCAGATTCATTATGAAGAGTAAATCTAACAATTTTATGGAGACTGATTTTGTGGGGTTTTTTACATCAGTTTTTAATGAATATATAAATATAGGAAACCTTGGATTTTCTCTATTGAAAATCACTGATAAAAGTAAAATTGGTAAAGTTTGGGCTTTTTGTGCCCCTAGACCCTGAACATTAAAGAAAGTCTTATTGATACTTTCTATTTTTATACTGCTGTCACTTCCCAATACTTACCTGCTTTCCTTTCTCCCTCCACCCATAGAACCCTCTCTTACAACAAAGAAAAAAATTTAAGCAAATAAAGAGACATAGGAATTGAGTCTGACGTTTGTAATAACCCACACCCTAAATCAGTACTTTTCTACAAGAAGGACGAAAGTGTGCTACACTATCATTTCTCTATATCCCATAATACATCTTGTATAATCTGAATTCTGTCATCTTTTAGTGTAATTTTCATTTACATAATTTCTAATATGGTTCTTTTGGTTCTGCATTAATTCATACAAGTCTTCTCACATTTATCTAAATCCTTTAGTACTTTCCCAGGCCATATTATTTCACTGCACATAATATGTGTATTACCTTTTTACCTAGCACATAATAAACTCTTTAATAGATGCTTGTTGACTTGACTAAAACAATCTTCTTCAAAGTTACCAATGAACTCTTAATCGCCAGATCTGATGGCCTTTTCTCATTTGATCTTCTTGAATTTACACTGTTTACCACCTTTCTTCTATCCCAATACTTTCTTCTCTCTGTTTTTGTGATTGCTTTCTTCGTTCTTATCCTACCTGACAGCCCCTTCCCAGCCTCTTTCTCTGGATCATCATCAATGATCCTAACCATGGGTAGACCTCAAGGCTCTGTACTGGACCCTCTTCTCTCTCTGTGTTCTCACATTTGGTGACTTTATCCCTTCCATGGGTTTAATGATCATATTATGCAGATGATTGACACATTTATATATCTATTCCTAGTCTCACTCCTCAGTTATGATCCAATATCACCAACAGCCTATTTGATATTCAGAACTGATTGTCTCATAATAATCTCAAACTCATATCATCTAGAACTGAATTAATAATCTTTCCCCAAACCCACCCAAATGGAAAAAAAATTATATCTTTCTTTTCACTTACCTCTAACTGAAATTTTGTATTTCCTTCTATTACCTAAAAACATTATTCTGAGAAAGGGTCCATAGGCTTCATCAAAGTTCTTGAGGAGGTTATGGCACAAAAAAGGTTAAGTACCCCAGTATTATGCCATGCTGAATCAGGGAAAGCTTCATAGAAGAGGTAGAATTTTCACTGGTCTTTAAAAGATTGGTAGGATTTCAACAGAAGGGGGGCGGGAGAAGATGGATAGCATTCCAAACATAGCAAACATCATGAGTAAAGGGAAGGAGGTGGAAAATCACAGGATGGGAAATGGGAAATAGTTCAGTGTAACCATAACATAGGGGACTGAGTTAGGCTAGAAAAGTAAAGTGGTGTCAAATTAGAGAGGCTCTTGATCGAGAAGCCAAAGAGTTTGACCTTTTGTTAGACAGTGGCTCTGAGTAGGATTGAAATGGGAAAGTTCTTAGAATTTTTTTAGCTCTCATATGTCTTTTTTTACATGCATATTTTAAATCTTAATGCAGATGATCACATATGCAGAAAACCCAATGAAAGTGAACCAAGATAAAAATTCAGTGCACATCCCAGGGTAGCATGTCTTCAGGGTAGGCAGAAGCAAAGCATTCAAGGAAATGGCGTGATGCTGGGCAGGCGAGTGATGCCAGGTTGAGGAGTATCTTGAACATTAGGTTAGATTTTTAACTTTATTTAATAGGCAGTAAGGAGCATCAAAGAGTTTTGAGCAGAGGAGTGACATGACCATGTAGGCAGTGTTGTAGATAAGAGTGTTGCATTTGGAGTCAGGAGATATGTATTTGAATCCCACCTTACAGATTTACTACTGTATAATCATGATCATGGCTTTTAACCTTTCAAAGCGTGTTTCCTCTTATGTACAATGAGGACAATAATACTTGTGTTACCAGCCTCAGAAGATTGTTATGAGGAAACAAATTATAAAATCTGAAAGTTCTATACAAATGTGAGTTGGAGGTGGAGAAAGTAAAGAAGCAGGAAGATCTTTTAGGGCATTATTACTGTAGCCCAGGAAGGTTGTATTGAGAACTTTTATTAAGATGATAACAATGGGAATAGAGAGGAGGGGATAAATAAGATTTTAATTTTTTCTTTTTTATTGTAATCATCAGAAAATAATTATAAGCAAATGAAAAGTACACTATACAAAAAAGATTATATAAGAAACTGTAAACTTGTTAGATTTATGTATTCATTTAAAATATATTTTAAAGTTAACTAGTAATACAATTGCTTCTTTTTTTAGAGGGGGACATTTCCTTTGGCATATGTTGTTTTTTTGCTTTTGTTTTTACAAATTAAAGCAATTCTGAGGCTTTAACTCACAGCCATCAGACTGTCAGATTGTATCTTTGGGTATAAAGGGGTGAATATAGAATATATGAGACCTGCTCTAACCCTAACCCTCTGCCTCAGAGACCAAGTGAATGGTGGTACTTCCTTCAGTCTTCTGGTTTGTATGGTTCCAGATCTAAAGGTATAATTAAGCAGTATAAGAGTTGAGCCCTCCCCTTTTCTGTCTTTCTTTTGCAAAGCCAGGCAGTCTGGGAATCAGACTAACATTTTGTTCAGCATAAAGAGCTCTTTGTAGCAAATAAAAAAAATTTTTAAAATTCGCATGTAGTTATTACCCTCGGCAATTAGTAGCTTATTCATAGTATGCAAGAATAATTGGAACAAAATATTTCTTAGTTATATGAAGGACAAGAATATATGTTTTGGTAATTAACTAGATTCATGTATAACTAGTAGACTATGAAAATATTTCATTCTAACAGTCGTTTGCTGAAGACCATTTTGTTGTTTCAACAAATATGTTTTAGCAGATTCAAACAAACAAGCAAGTGTTGGGAGTTTCACTGCTAAGTATTCTGCAACCTTCATTGTATATGGTGTCATAGAAAGAGCTTTCAACTTGTCATTGGGAGAGTCCTGAGTTTGAAACATTGTTCTGACATTTGTTGACTGTGTGACCTTTGATAATTCTCTAAACCTTAGTTTTCTTATT